CACATGAATTAACAACATTCTAACCGAGCTGATCTATTTAATCAAAGAGATAAGTCAAACTGCATGAATTAACAACATTCTAACTGATCTGATCTATTTAATCAAAGAGATAAGTCAAACCGCATGAATTAACAACATTCTAACTGATCTGATCTATTTAATCAAAGAGATAAGTCAAACCGCATGAATTATCAACATTCTAAAGAGCTGATCTATTTAATCAAAGAGATAAGTCAAACCGCATGAATTAACAACATTCTAACGGACCTGATCTATTTAATCAAAGACATAAGTCAAACCGCATGAATTAACAACATTCTAACGGACCTGATCTATTTAATCAAAGACATAAGTCAAACCGCATGAATTATCAACATTCTAACTGATCTGATATATTTAATCAAAGACATAAGTCAAACCACATGAATTATCAACATTCTAACTGATCTGATATATTTAATCAAAGACATAAGTCAAACCACATGAATTAACAACATTCTAACTGATCTGATCTATTTAATCCCGGTTGGTTGTCAGATACATGTTGGATCAATTACAATATTTTTAATTAATGCAGTATGAAGTTGAATTTCTCTATAAACAGCTTTGTAATGTCACATTTACACTTTTTTTAACGATAAAACTGATGTTACCTTAATTATTGTTAGTTCAGTTCTAGGAATTATTTATTTGATTTGATATTTTAATATTGTGGTCTTGTTAGATTTATTAAAAACATCAACACATGATTCGACTTTATTCTAATTAACATTAATTTTTTTATTATTATCACAAACGAGCACTTACATGTGAGACATATTTCGTTAAAATGCCATGCATCCGCTTCTCGAACTAATCTATCACTGCCATCTGGTGAGGCTCGGTCGTAGTGCAAATAACATGTAGAATCTCCGTATAATCTTGTTCTGTCACCGCTAGGGGCCCCTCTGTTGTGTGGATCAGTGGACAGCACAGTCTCACTAAATCTTTCTCTCGCTAAAACCTTTCCAACTCTTTGGTTTTCGCTACTTCTGCGTTCAACACTTGCGGTTTCTTCTGGGTTTTTATATGCCTCTGAAAGAGGCCGACTTTCAGGGTCGACAAATACCCCTGAGCGCCTTCTACTGGGCATGAAGTCGAAAGATAAACACTGCTGTATAGAAGTTGTACGATCCTCTTGGCAACGGCGTATACATTCTTCAAGCACTTTAACTGGCATATCCCTCTTGGTTATCTAACGTTAAATAAAAAATACTTATTCACTGTCGTTTTAAGTAGACATTTTACGACACGTGTTCTCCTTCTCGTTCTTTAGATTTGCTCTGTCTGGAGAGTGAAGACAGCTTATACATTTTTAAGTATGTATACACGTTTGATTAGTTGTTAATTGTGTGATCAACACCTGAATTCTCTAATCTTTCAAATTGTTCTCCTAGGGAGTGAGATATGACGACTCGTAAATTAAAACAAGAAATAAACGAGCTTTTAAAAACGAAATGGCTTACTAAACTTTTAGCCTTAGTTTACGCAGTTGCCCTAATGTTTCCAATGTTAGAATGATCATACCTCCCAGTCTGTTACAGGTCTCAATAGTTCTCAGTACTAAGACCATGCCGGAATTAATAAGTTTACTCTCTCACACATTTGTATTACATTTTGTTATTAGAAAACACTACTATTGTGTCAATGCTGTATTTACTGTCTTCATACTAGTACAACCCTGAACCGGAATATTTTAACTTCCTGGTTCACAAAAATAAAGATGTAAAATCAAATAAATGACAGAAAAAATGCTCACACACATCTTTAGAAACGTTATTGGAAGAAAATATAACCTCCACGTCCATTAAGAAGAAATAGAACACATCTGTTAAGAAACGTTATGTGAAAAAGAAAAAAAAACATATCTCTTAAACATGTTAATAACGAATGACTCACACATTTCTTAAACACGTTAATAACAAATAACTCGCACATCTCTTAAACACGTTAATAACGAGTAACTCACACATCTCTTAAACATGTTAATAACAAATAACTCACACATCTCTTAAACATGTTAATAACAAATAACTCACACATCTCTTAA